TAAGACATAAGGGGTCCTCGCATCCTGGCCCAGGCTGGGACACTGGACATGTTGGGGCCATTGCAGCAGGACCTTCGTTGCAGAAAGCAGGTAGGGGTATTATTTTTAAGCCAATGTGGACCTTCAAGTGGAACATCTTCCCTCCCAGGGCAAACCCCTTCAGAACCCTTGGAAAATTACAGTTTCACTTTTAGCAAGACCCCGCCACAGTGTGGGGAGGCCCCCACAGCACCCAGTCCTCTCCGAAAGGGGGTCCTCCTGGCAGGGCTGCACACTGCTCTCTTGCCTTCCCACCACCTAGTTCCCTAGCTCCATCCTGTCCTGCCTTCTTTATCCTTTTGGGTTTTCCAGCCCCGTTCCTCTCTCACTTTGGAGGGCTGGTGGAGCCTTGGCACTCCTCGTGGATTCTGGACAGTCTGTGTGCCATGGCCTTGATGAGGAGCCTCTCCCCAGTAGCCTCATGTGCCCCTACACAGCTCCGTGTTGAATTTGGCTTAGGTTACCACTTCTGAGCAGTCTGCCCTGATTTGCCCCCAAGCACAGGTGGAAATGAACCAGGTACCCTGTCTAGGGTTTGGAGATCCTGCCCTGTTTACAGCATAAGCTCTCTACTTTAGCTCTGTCACACAGCAGGCAGGCCTGCACACTACAAGGAAAGATGTTCCACTTGGGAAACACAGAGTTTTAAAATGCAACATTCTTCTAAGTCGTGACCCATGAAAGAAAGAATTGATAAGCTGGATTTCATTATGATTAAACACCTCTGCTCAGCTAAGACAACGCCAAGAGAATGAGTGATTAGACAAAGACACGGTCTGGGAGAAAATATTTGCAAAAGGCATAACTGAGAAAAGGCTGTTACAAAACACTCTTAAAATTCAACAATAAGAAGACAAACGACTCAGAAAATGGGCCCAAATCTTAGCTAACACCTCACCAAAGAACATATCCAGATGGCAAGGAAGCAAAAGAAACAACACTCTGCATCCTATGTCATCAGGGACATATGCATATTAAAACAAGACACCGCTACACACCAACTAGAATGTCCAAAGTCCAGAACACCGACAACACCAAATGCTGATGAGGGTGTGGGACAGAGAAACTCTCAAGCATTGTTGGTGGGAACGCAAGATGGCATGGCCACTTTGGAAGACAATTCAACAGGGTCCTATAAAACTAAACACATTCTCATGCCTTGGTATTTGCCCAAAGAAGTTGAAAACTCATGTCTACACAAACACCTGCATAGATATTTACAGGAGCTTTGCCAGAACTCGGAGGCAACCAAGATGTCTTTCAGTTGGCTAACGGATCAATAACTGTCGGTACATGTGGGCACATATCAAGCCATGGAAAGGCATGCAGGAACCTTAGAGGCACACTACCAAGTGAAAGCAGCCCACCTGGAAAGGCCACATACTCCCTGATTCCAATTATGGAACATTCAGAAAAGGTGAACCTATGAAGATGGTCAAGGGTAATGGTTGCCAGGGTCTAAGGGGAGGAAGGAATGAACAGCACTGGGGTTCTGAGGGTAACAAACTACTCTGCAGGACGCTGTAATGCTGGAGACATGTCATCACACATTTGTCCAAACCCAGAGCATGCACACCAAGAGTGAACCTGAACATAGACCGTGGACTCCGAGTGATAACCGTATGCCTGTGGTGGTCAATCAGTTGTACCAAGTGTAGCCTCTGGTGGGGATGTTGATCATGGGGGGCTGTGCACATGTGGGGGCAGGAGGTGTATGGGAAATCCCTGGACCTTCCTTTCAATATTGCTGTGAACCCAAAACCACTCTAAAGAAGAAAGTCTTAAAAAAAATGTAGTAATCTTCCAATACAAGGTTACCATACAATGCTGAAAAAATATTTCCCACCTATAGCCTGGCAGGAAAAAAAAAAGGTGATACATGTTGTGGGTGAACGTGGGGTAAAACTGGGACATGCTGGTGGTCTGGGAAAAAAAAATTTAAAGCTATAAAATGTTTATACCCACGTACTCAGTATCTGGAACATTTCTCCAGTAGATATCAATCTTTGATTCAGTACAATAGGGTATGAACAGAGATGTTAAATGTTGGAAACAATTGAAATCCTTAAAGTAACAGATTATTTAAGTAGAGTATGATAATCCACTTAAAGCAATTTTAAACATTAAAGATTTGAAGTATTATAATTATGAGAACTCTATAGGAGAAAGAAAAATGGCTTATAGGAGACTTTATGAGAACATTCATTCTACGTGATTAAAACTATGTAAGTAATATCTAAAAAACATTAGAAGAAAATGCATCAAGATTCCTTTCCTTTGCTCTTTTTGCTAATGTTTAATTCTTGTAATGTGTAGGACCGCAGTTCTATTACTTTTACAAATGGAAGGCTTAAAAATAACTCACTTCCCTTCTGGGGGACTGATGCTCAGGGCAAAGCACACCACTTTTTTTTTTTTTTTAAGATTTTTTCTTTATTTATTTGACAGACAGAGATCACAAGTAGGCAGACAGGCAGGCAGAGAGAGAGGAAGGGAAGCAGGCTCCCCGCTGAGCAAAGAGCCCGATGTGGGACTTGATCCCAGAACCCTGGGATCATGACCTGAGCCGAAGGCAGAGGCTTTAACCCACTTAGCCACCCAGCCGCCCAGCACAACCACTTTTTAAAGCTCTCTGAGGATAAGGACCAAGGCCCTGAATCATTCTCATTTCAGACGTACTGTTTATTTGCTCATTTATTTAGTTTGTATTGTGCTGGGGGGTGCTTAAGCAATGCTCAAGAGACACGTGTATTCTCTGAGGCTGACAGCGTGGTGGGACAGAGGTAACAGGGCAGAGAGGAAGGAACAGCAGAGTGTGAGGACTGGGGACTGGGAACCCCTTGGGGTCTTCTGAATGAGTGGGGGAATGATCTGGGAGGAACTGCTAGGAGGAGCCCTGGGGGTCCAGACAGAAAGAAGGGGAGGGGCCTTCCGCAGTGTGTGTGTGTGTGTGTGTGTGTGCGCGCGCGCGCGCGCACGCGCGCACGCATGCCTGGGCTCAGGGGCCTGTGGTGACTGGGAAGCCAGCCGGAGTGCATTCTAGGTGTGGTGGGGAGCTGGAAGGGATCCCCCACACCCTGAGAAGAGGAAGGGAGCACGCAGCCGACATGCCAATACCTCACACTAGCCACTGACGGCCACACTCTTTACCCACATGACCTCCTGGGCCTGGGGACCCTGAGAAGCCCCGTTCCTCCAACACCGCGCTCAGTGGAGCCTCTCTCAGGGCTATGGCAGCTGAATGGGCACAGCCCGCGTCTACCACTCGGGTCTGTGTCTTTGTTCACGGCTGCCATAGAGCTGTGTGTACAGTGTCTGCTGAACGGCAGGAGGGCAATTGTCATTTCCAGTTTGCAGAAGTGGAGACTGAGGCCTGGGAGCAAGAAGCCATGGGCCCAAGGTCTCGGAGGAAGGAAGAGAATGAGGAGTGAGCCTGTCACTGAATGAACAAACAGGAAGAGAGAAATGTCTGACTCCATCCCTCCCTCCCCCAAATTCCCTCGCAGGGGCCTGAAGAAGGGGCCCAGAAGGAAGAGAGAGGCCTGTGGGTGTTGGCAAGAGCAAAGTGGGGAGCAGAGGCCCCCACAGAAGATGACAAGAAGATTCTGGTCTCTCCAGAGCATGCTCGAAAGTGCTTTCTTGTGCTTCTTTCCCGACCCTTGTGTTGACCTGACTTCCTGCAAATGCAATGTTACGTCCTGTTTTTCCTTGATTATTTGCATAAACAGTCTGAGTCTTTTACGAAATCTTTATAAGCTCCATTTCTGAGCTTGGAATAATCAACTGCCAAGTAAACGAACCACAATTTACGAAAATTGCCTCTTACTGTCAATCATTTAGGTTGCTTTCGGTATTTCTGAAATACATAAATAATATTATTGAATAGTGTGGATAACATGAGCATCCTATTTCCTGAAGATTAATCTGCAGCCTGGGTTTCCAAGGTCTGAGAAGTTTCTTTGGGTCCTGTTGGTGTTGACCTTCCGCAGGGCCTAAGGCGGCTGTGGGCAGGTGGAGGAGGCCAGGGACAGAGCCGGGATGACACTGCATCTGTGTTTGTAAATGAACTTGCTCTTTCAGGCCCAAACAGTGGGGTGGGGAGAAGCAGGGGCTCAGGGGGCACTGCTGGAGCCGAGAGGGGCTGACCTACATAGCATCCCCACATAAAAGGGCAGGTGTGCAGGTGGGACCTGGGGTGATGCCAGTTCTGCCTGACTCCCCAACAGAGCTTGTTGGGGGGGGGATCACCCACATCACCTCCTCTCAGGCCCTTCCTTGGTCTATTCCCTTTAACTCCCTCGGGAAACAGTCCCACATTCCGGGATTCTCTGTGCATTTCAACCTGACCCCGTTTGAAGCAGAGCCCCGGTGTCTGTAACTGTCACAGCAAACCCCAGGCACGCACAAACAGAGGCCTGTGGCTGGCTTGCGGTTGCTGTGATCACACCAGACTCAGAGAACCCCTCCTCGGGCAGGTGTCACCCAGCACATCCCAAGTGGGAAGAGCCCCGCGCCGGGTGGGTGTCCCAAGGATGTCTCTGAGAGAGACCCCAGCCCTGGGAGCCTGGGCTTCAGCCAACTTGGCCTCCTATTGGTTGATTCCTTGGGGGCCAAACACCTCTAGGAGGAAACCAATGAAATTCATGCAGAAGCAACGTGGGAGAAGAAAAGTGCTGTGTCCCGCTCTTGCCTGCCTCCTCCAAGTCTGCATGGTCAGCAGACCAGACCATAACCAGAGGGGCGGGAGCGTCCCCGAGAAGGCCTCTCCCTTCCTAGAGGCTTACCTCCAGCCCATCCATCCCTGCCCTTTATCACCATTACCTGACTCTATCAGGCTGGGTGACTCAGCATGTGTGTGCCAGCCAGCCCCAAAGACACACACACCGTGGAGAGCAGCTGCAGCCTCTGTCCTCAAGGAAGGGACACCAGACACAATTCAGTCACGAATAGGAGCCACGTACCTGAATGTATGGATACTGATGGTTGGAGTTTTGGGAGAAAAACATCCAAGACAGCTCCTCCAAGCTTTGATAACTCTGTAGGCCAAGCCGACTCAGACACCTGCGTTTTTAGGTGGTTTTTTTTTAGAAAGTCTCATTTATGTTATATTATTGTACCCCTGAAAGACTGAAAGGAAGTGTGGTCTTGTGGGGGAGCGCTGTGCAGGCAGCACCAGGCAGCAAGACCTGTTGTCTTCTTAGCTCTGCCCCTTGTTGTCAGAGGAGTCCATCTGCGCCTTGGGAATGAAGGCAGGTCACACCTGCCCCTTTGGTTAGCCAGCGACACCTCCCCAGTTGGGGAGCAGGGTGATGGAGTTAGAAAGCCAAATTGCTCCTTCCAATAAACAAAGTAAGACAAGACAAGGAGCAGTTCTAGAATAGTGACTTTCTTGCAAACAATGAAATATTCTGAGAATCTGTGATATCTGTGGGTTTGTAAATGAAGAGGAAACAGGAACCGCTGATCGTTAATGATACCATTAAAAGCGGCACTGGTTCTGGGCCAGCGGGCACCAACAGACATTCTGGGAAAGCAGATGACCCAGGAAGAGAGGCATTCCCTGTCACCCAGAAAGAACCCAGCTTACCTTCTTAAACTTCTCTGTATGGATATGTTACTTCGTCACTGCTGGCTGTGAAGAGTAACAATTAGAAATACCCACTTCCCTAAAATAAGTAGAGTGGGTTCAAGGCTAAAGACACTAAAATAGAGTGTCACCTGCTTACTTGTATCTGGTAGGTTTCCTCAAGTGGGCTAGAAAGGGATGGAGTGACAGTTGGGAACTGGCCACGGAAATAGTCACACGTGGACATCCTTGTGAATTTTGTGGCAGCAAAAGGCTCATCTTGGTGCACTAGTGACTCGAAAACTGCAGTCATGTAAGCCATTGAGTAGATTTGCTTTAGGAAGGGTTCTTGGAAGCCTTCAGGGACTTCCTTTGAGAAAAACACTTCCTGGTAGAATTAGAGAATGTGAGTTTCATTAATTTAAATGTGGGGAGGACGAGCCCGTGGCAGGGCTGTCCTAGAGGGTCTTCAACTATTATTTTGGAAGCTGAATGAGACTAAGTTCTTTTCCCAATATAGAGATCTGAATTCTAAAGGATCAGATTTTACCAGTCACGAAGAATTGTTTGAATTTTTCATTTCGGTTGCAGTTTGCTGCTGCTTCTGCTACAACCAGAGTAGAGAAAGAGCCCACAGCATGGCTATTTTGTAGCAATCATGAGCTCTGGGGCTTCATATGGTGGTAAGACTAGTTGAGCTTCTGCAGGACCTAGGATTAAATTGCCCTTTCTTTTGTCCCCACAGCTTCGGGTGTGGTCACAGGACATCTCACTAGGTATCACTGGGTGGTGGGACTCAGAAGAGTCTTATCCCTTGCCATTTGCTTTATAGCCTGGTGGCTTGGTGATGCTTAGACTTGGCATCCTGCTTGTACCATGGCAAGAGTGCACGCGTGCATAAGGGCTTAACTGAGAGAAGGCAAGTAAAACCATATATTAACGAGCACTTAGCAAGCGTTTGAGAAATAGCGGTGGTGGCTTGGCAAGTGAGGGCAAATGTCAATGAACAATATGTGAAGATATGGATCATCTGGTCACTTAAAACTTCTGGTGAGACTGGATGTGGGCTACCTTCCTCTGGGAACAAGTAGAAATGTGTGCAACATGGGTGCGTGTGTGGTCAGACCCATAGACAACTTTTGACAATAGATAAACGAAGTAGATCATCTCATCTATATTTTGGAAATTTAAAATTTATGTTTATCGTTTGTTATTTGAGGATTGTTTTGCTCACCTCATTGGAGATTTTGCAGCCTCAGGAGATGCTCTGGATGAGCTCGCCTCTGAAGGTTAAGATGCCTTTTGAAGGGTCCTGAACTCACAGTGAGAGCCCCAGAGCAGCCGGAGATGATGAGCCTGTGATATTCGGCAGGTCATAGATGACTTTTACTTTCGTGTTCATGCATGTGGATTACTCACATCTGTGTGTTACATGTACAGCCAGAGAAAACTATAAAGCAGTTTCAATTTTGAAAAAAAAAATATATATATATATATATATGAGGAGAACGTGACAAGGAAGAAATTACTGTTTTAAAAAAGTTATGGGTGGGGCACCTGGGTGGCTCAGTGGGTTAAGCCTCTGCCTTCAGCTCAGGTCATGGTCTCGGGGTCCTGGGATTGAGCCCCACACTGGGCTCTCTGCTCAGCAGGGAATGTGCTTCCTCCTCTCTCTCTGCTTCCCTCTCTGCCTACTTGTGTTCTCTCTCTCTCTCTCTCTGTGTCAAATAAATAAATAAAATCTTTTTAAAAATGTTAAAAAAGTTATGGGCGCCTGGGTGCCCCAGTTGGTTATGCTTCCAACTCTTGACTTAGGCTCAGGTCATCATCTTGGGGTCATGAGATCGAGCCCCGAATTTTTGTCGCTTTAATTCTGTTGCACAATCATAGTAACCTTTCCATAATAGATTGATAGAAGAGGATTTACTGGGTCAAAAAATAGACATAACTCTAAGGCTTTTGATACCTGTTACCAAATTGCCCTTTGCAATGGTGGCACCATTTATCAGTGCTCTCATCTATCTGAAATATTGTATTTGGGATAATCTATCTGGTAGATTGCCTTTTAAAAAATGTATTCCTTTTTAAAATTTGTTGTTTAAACAACTCTGATTTGTATTAGAAACAAGTTCATATTTAATTTTTATTAGTTTATTATTCACTCAATTACTGACCTCCTAGTATCTTGCTTTCAGTATATTTTTTAAAGTATTCACTTATTTAAGACACCTAGACTCTCTTTCCATGTAAGATGTGAAGGGTGAAAACTTAATTTTTTTTTCAAATAGCTAACCAGTAATTGCTTTATTATGTAAATCCTTTATTATATAATCCATTATTTCCTCTTGTATGTGAATGCTACTGGTGTCATGCACTCCAAATATTCTAATGGGTTCTATTCTCCTTTTAATTATTGGAATCAGTGATTGTAAATTGGTCCGTATGTGTCTAGTAGCTGATAACCTTATTGGGAGGAAGAGGCTTTTGCCTTTGAGAAAGAAAACCTTGATTCCAAAAAGCTGGATCAGTTACATTCCTCTATTTCTGCATTTTTTCCCTCTGCTAGGACCTAAGGATGGAAAACACAGGACATCACTGTGAGGACAGAGGAATCCAGAATTCAAAACCTTGGTGACCAGTAACAAAGCCTGTGGGAAAACAGCAGCTTCCCTTCCCTCGCTGGGTGGGGTGGGGGGGAGGGGTTGGGGCGGAAGGGAGGGGTGTGGGGGGAGGAGAAGAGAGCAGCAGGAGGGGGTCACAGTAAAAACTGAAAATCAGCTTCTGGGATTCTGACGCTTTGAGAAACCAGCCAAGTTCTAGGACCCTGAGAAAAAATTAAAAACCAAGAGTTTGGGGAGAAGAAGGAAGTATTATCTCGTGCTTTTCAAGAAATTAGTTAAATAACAAACAAATAAATAAAATGATCCACAGGGTCATGCCCAAGTAAATCGATGACCTTGTACCTATGCTTGAAATGCCATTTTTTTGAAGTGTAGGAACGGACAATAGGTCTAGCTACTGTACAAATTCTACCTCTGTGAAAAAAAAAAAAAAAGTCTGAACGAGTGGAAATTGCATGCTCTCATGTAACCAACCGTCCAGGCAGCCAGGTGGTGACACCACGAACCCACAGCCAGAGCAGCACAGTGGCTCTGGGGTGGTGAGTGGCAATTTTAGGCAAATAGAGAGGAGAAAATAAATTACCTGGAGTGACTGGAAAACTAAAACTAGAAAGAGGTGATAACACATCAAGCAAGATGAAGGACATGGTACCATCAAGTCTTCGTGTCGTGTAGTGTCTACCAATGGCTCAGCTAGAGAAGGAAATGTGTATTGAACGCTGACAGGTGCTGTCGCCACCCGGATGCCACCGCTTTGTCCCCACTCCCCCATTCCATTGCTGCTTTGTCTTCTTGTACTGTTCCCTTTGTGTCACGTGCCCCAAATCCCTTTTGAAATTAGGGAGTGCGTGAATGAATAAAAATATTGATTCTTAGGTGTTTTTCAGAGTATTATAACATTGAACTTTAACAATCAAGTTAACTAATAGGAAAAAAAAGAGGAATTCTTTAGTTTCGATATATCCTTACTTCAGGAAAACTGGTTCCTTTTCCAGGGGAATATTTGCTTCCCAGCGCTCATGCCCAGTATTGGCGGTGAGACGTGTCTCCTTCTATGGTGACATCTGCATGGTCATAGGCTCGTGTATCCTCAGCCCGAGGCATGTACATGGTTTTCCGCGGGTGATCACTTGCTTTACAAAAAATAGGATCATGTTTCAAATTCTCCTTTGAAGGAGAATTTTCCTCCTTTTCCTCCCTTTTCCACCTTTTCCTCCCTAGGGATTCCTGGCAATCTCACGAAATCATTACCTTGAGTCATTCTTTTGATGGCCACGTGATGTTATTTTAGGGCATGTACAGATCACATTTTATTTGGTAATTGCATATTGATGAACTGAGGGTTGTTTCCAGTTTTTATTTGTCTCAAGAGAAATGTATAAGTATATAAACGTATAAGTATACTTACTCTTTTGCAATAATTACTTTATGTGGGCATATTCCCTGGATTGTTGGGGTAGAGTATGTGATTTATATTAGACGTTACTAGATACTACCAAACCATTTTTCCGAAAGGGAAACAGCTGTAGTGTCCCGTGATACCACCAGCAACCCCTGTGAGTGCCCTTGTCCACGTCCTCTCCGCACTGAGGGCTGTCACTCTTACTGTTTTCACCTACTCAGGGACATCTGGATGCAAATGACAGATTTCCATTTTCCTGGAAAATGTATTCTTAACCTTGACCTAGTCACCACCCATTCTCTGGAGATGAAACTGGCGTAGAGGTCATGGCAGGAGAGATGAGACCGTGTGAATCATCCGTCCTCTCTTGAACACACAGACGCACTCAGAGGGCTTCATTTATCTCAGGGCAGGGAGGAGGGTGGGGAGGTTTGGA